CTCCGTCGCCTGTCGCGGGGCACCGGGGGCACGTGCCCCGCCCCCCCCCTCTTTTCCCGTCGCCCGTCGCGGCTCCCTGGGGGGCCGCGACCTAGGGGGGGGGGGGGGGGGGGGTGAGCGTCGCCCCTTCTGCCGCCTGTTTTGGCGCCCTGGGAGGCCGCGCGTCGCCCCCCCTGACAAAAGTTAGAAGAAAGAAAGGGAAATGAACTAGCAGAAATGGGGATACAAATAGCAAACCCTAGAAGGGTTGTACTCGCTATAGAGCACCCCACTACAGGCTAGAACATAAGAATAATATTCTGACACACCCCCATAGCCAAAGTGGGGTGTAATCAGCAGAGCAGGCAAAGCAAAACAAGCTCAGGGTGGATCACAATGTCACCACACATTCTGAGCACAAGTTCAAGAAGAAATAGTTCAAAGTTAACAATTATGAGCAAAGCTAGCAGTGGTCACAACGGGCAAGTGAGGAGGAGGAGGGAGAGTGAGAGGAGAGGAGATAGAAGGCGGCGGCTGAAGCTGCAGACACACGGGCAACAGGAGTGGCGAGCACAGTGGCTACCGGGACAGCGCCCCGGACTACGGGAGTAACAGGCCCCGCGGCTCAAGTAGCGGCAGACGGGCAACGGACCCACAGGCGACCGGCTCAGCGACAAGCTCACTGGGCTACCGGGACAGCGCCCCGGACTACAGGTGCTGCGGACGACAAACTGGCAACCTCCGCTCAACCTCCCACACACAGTCCCACCCCCCTCATACACACCCACTGCTACACCGCTAGCTCCACTCCCACGCACCCCCCTTCAACCCTAAACCCAGTCTCCCACACAATCACCCCCCTCAGCGACAGCTGCAGCAGTGGGAGACGAAGGAGGAGGAAGAGCAAAGGGAGGAAAGTACACTGGCCACCCCCATACCTGCCACCCCACAGCGCGCCCCTCCCGTCGTCCGTCGAGGCGACCTGAGGGGGCCGCGGGGAGGGGAGAAAAAGGGGGGGGGGGGGGGGACGGGGCCGGGGCCGCGACGAGGGGCGGGGCCGCGACGGTCGGGGCGGGGCCGCGACATAGGGCGGGGCCGCGACGTAGGGCGGGGCCGCGACATAGGGCGGGGCCGCAACGTTGGGCGGGGCCGCGAAGGTAGGGCGGGGCCGAGCCGGGCAGGCGCACGGGCGGCGACGGGCCGGGGCGGGGCCGCGACGAAGGGCGGGGCCGAGCCGGGCAGGCGCACGGGCGGCGACGGGCCGGGGCGGGGCCGCGACGAAGGGCGGGGCCGAGCCGGGCAGGCGCACGGGCGGCGACGGGCCGGGGCGGGGCCGCGACGTAGAGCGGGGCCGCGTCAAGGGGCGGGGCCGCGACGTAGAGCGGGGCCGCGTCAAGGGGCGGGGCCGCGACGATCGGGGCGGGGCCGCGACGTAGTGGAGAAGCCCGCCGCGCGCCTCGGGGCGCACAGCGGGCAATGAACCGCCGCGCGCCTCGGGGCGCACGGCGGGCAGAAAACCGCCGCGCGCCTCGGGGCGCACGGCGGGAGGAAAAAGTAGCAGCGGAAGCGAGGTGGTAACCCACCCACAGGATCGATCCAAAGGGATCGACCTGCTCTGATAGCATGACAAAAGTTAGAAGAAAGAAAGGGAAATGAACTAGCAGAAATGGGGATACAAATAGCAAACCCTAGAAGGGTTGTACTCGCTATAGAGCACCCCACTACAGGCTAGAACATAAGAATAATATTCTGACACCCCCCCCCCCCCGTAACCTCCCTACCCGTCGCCCGGCCCTGCCCTGTGTTAGGGTTTGGGGGTGGCGAGTAGGGGGTGGCGGGTGTGTGGTCTCCCTTGCTCCTCCTCCTCCTCTGTCTCCCACTGCTGCAGCTGCCGCTGAGGGGGGTGGGTGTGTGGGAGTCGACGGAGTGGTGCTAGGGGGTGGGGTTTGAGTGAACCTAGGGTGCAGCAGGGGGTGTGTGAAAAGGGGGTGCTGTGGGAGTGGAACTAGGGTTTGAGCAGGGGGTGTGTGTCGAGGGGTGTGGGGCAGCGGGAGGAGGTTGTGTGAAGGTAGCTGTCGTGTCGCCTGCAGCGCCTGTAGTCCGTCGCCCTTGCTTCGGTAGCCAGTGAGCCTGTTGCACCAGTCGCCAGTGGGTCCGTTGCTCCTGCCGCTCGTCTATAGCCGCGGAGCCAGTTACTCCAGTAGTCCGTCGCCCTTGCTTCGGTAGCCACTGAGTCAGCCGCTCCTGTGCCCGTGCCTCTGCAGCTTCAGTCGTTGCCTCCCATCTTCTCTCCCTCCACAGTTCCTCCTCCTCCTCACTTGCCCGCTGTGATTAACTCTAGCTTTGCTCTATTGTGAACTCCTGCTCTATGCGTGCTTGCTCATTGTGCTGATTACACCCCACATTGGCTATGGGGGTGTGTCAGAATTTTATAATTGTCTAGCCTGCAGTGGGGTACTCTATAGCGAGTACAACCCAATTAGGGTTTCCTATATGTATGCCAACTGCTGCTAGTGCAACCCTCTCTTCTTCATTCCTCATTCTTCACAGACAGTACCCATGACCCCGAATCCCGACAACCCGGTGCCACGAGCACAACAGTTCGCCGAAATTTTACAAGCAGCACGAAACCGGGCAGCCGACGCAGTAAAAAAATCAAACATCATCGCTAAACGCAACGCCGACCGCCACCGCAGACCTGTCACTTACCAACCCGACGACCTAGTTTTACTTGACACCCAGAACCCCTGCCTGCCCATCACCCCAAAACTTCGCCCCCGATACTGTGGACCGTTTCGCATAAGTCACACGATTACACCCGTCACCGCCCACCTCCTCCTCCCCGCTGACTGGTACGTCAGCCCCTCATTCCACGTCAGCCTGCTTCGCCCTTACGTCCCGTCCACAAGCCAACTCCCACATAATCGCCCAGCCAGCATGACACGACCGCCGACTCAACCAATCATCACACCCGAGAAACTTATGAGCCACAGCGTTCGTGACCCTCGAGCAGCCCGAAGGATCGAGTTCCTGATCCGCTGGAAAGACCTTACACCCACCGAAGACAGCTGGGTTCCCCTGGACAGAATCGAAAACCACCCCGTCCTCACCGAGTATCTGCGCGGCCGAAACTTCAGGGATGTACACGCGCTTTCGTAAGGAGGACCTCCTTAGGGGGGGGGGGGTAATGTAAGGAAAATTCCTTTTTCCTTACTTCGCGTCCACGCTCAGCGCGTATACCACTGTAGCACCATAGTCAGCACCGTTACCACTCGCAAACCCTCGCATCGACAATCCTCCCGCCACCTTCGCACGTCGCACCCCGACCTCACGGCTCGGCGGGTAACCCGCGCTCCGGGCTTCCGCTTCGACATTTTCCCAAACCTCAGTCCCAGGCCCGTCGCGCGCAACCACAGTCCATTACCGTTACCACTGTAGTTTCGCAAAATATTCTTCGCTCATGCCTTCGCTCATTGTACTCTTGCTTCGATAGTGCAATTCTAGCTCGCTCACTCAATTGCACTCGTAACACTAATAAGCTTTCGAAATTGTTTTTACATGGTATATTTTTGTACATTTCACCATTCAAGTCTAGATGTTACGGGTGCAATGAATCGAAGTAGCGAGAATTGCACTAAGGTGTCAAACGAGTACAAAGATGTGAGCGAAGGCATGAGCGAACATTTATACGCGAAACATGCAAACGGTAACGCGGTGCGTGCGAGCTAGCTAGTGCTATGCTAGCAGCGAGGCTCGGGCTAGCCCCGAAGCGTAGGCCGACACGGCCGGGCCAACAGTGCGAGGTTTGGCAAAACAGTGCGCGCGAAGTTGGCGAAGTCCCGTTAGCAGTAACGGGCGAACAACGGCTGTTGCTGTACGCGATGTAGTCGGGCTCCGTAAGGAATGCCAAGAAAATTCCTTACACTAGAACAGTGTTGTGACTTTGTTTGCCTTCATGTCGAGCCAGGCAAGGGGGTCGGTTCAACCAGTTCGAATACCTTGGTTCGGTTTGGGACAACTTCAGCTGCAATCCAATTAAGCCAGCGCGGTTCGCAAATGCGATCCCTAACAGTCCGCCTGGAAGAATCTGATGGGTCGTAATCTGCCTGCGGTCTGAAAAAAATAAACCCCATCTGGATGGCATGCAATTAGGGGAGCTCCAACCCTAAACACGGGGAGCCCCAACCCTAAACACGGGCAGCCGCTTGGTTCTGCCCGAAAAGATTGCATTTGCAAACCCGCACTGGGAAAATGAGATCGCAGTTCTAATTGTCCGGTTCGGTTTCATGCGTTTACTCCAACGTAGGTCACGCTCTCTTTCGCTACGGCGAAAATTTACACCTACGGCAAATGTTGGCGACCAGGCGAATCCAGATTTGGGCCTTGTTGAACGAATTGGCATGCAAGTCGCGGCGGCAACCACAGTTACAGATTCCGGCGAAAACAGCCTCGGCAGCTCGTTTCGTTCGGTCATGTCCCAGGCTCCGACCATTTGTGTGTGTGGGAATGCTCACCTCGAGAATCCCGACAGCTGATGATGAGGAAGAGTTGACAAGCGGAGCGGGAAATCGCTTAGCACTAACTCAACCACTCTACGTTTTTTAGCTTTCTAAAACGTGAAGCACCTGATGAAGCCGCACTCGTTTACCTTGTGATCATCCCCCACACCTAGCTAGAATACCTTGTAATCGTCACCTAGGACTTCAAGGTCGTTTACCTTGTGATCGTCGGACATCAGCGAGTTTCTAGCTAAACTAGCAGTGTCCATCATAGTCACTTCAAATTTCGATGATCGAATTCTTACAGGTGAACTCGACTTCACGTTTCGCGTCAAGGTTAGCGAGGGTCTAGGCATACACGAGGAGTTCAACAAAATCGACGTAGGCAACGGAAAGGAATTCATGAACTTCTACGCCGCCTCCCGTAGATCAGCCCGCCGTTGGCTATGGCTAGTCCTACCTCAAACCTCACGGCCATTGATAGATCCGATTTCCAGATATATCACTTGTGAGACGTCTCAAATGCACCAAATCGCATCGCGATTTTCTGTTCCTTCCTCGCCAAGCCTCGATCGGATCGGATCGAATCCAAACGAACCAGCGCGAAACGAGTCTTCTCAACTCCGAAACCCAGGCCGAAGCTTCGAGACGCCTCAAGAGACCTTATCATCCCACGTCCGAAGCTTCGCGGCATGGTCTGCCGCTGGTGCTTTTTTCAGGCCAGCAAACGCAAAAGCTTCCGAGACGGAGACTGCTTTCTCTGGGCCGAAATCACTTCCCAGGAGCAAGCCTCTAGTAGCGGTGCAAGCGGACCTTAAAACGCGTACAGTGAAGGACGAGGATAGGGGGGATGCGGGAGGAGGTCAGGGGAGCATCAGGGGAGTGGGTGAAGAGGAGGGGGGAGAAACGGGAGGTGGAGATCAGAGGGGTGAAAGGACAGCAAGGAATGCAGAGGGGAAGAGCAAGGGAGGCTGGGGGATGAGTAATGGGACGGGAGGCTGGGAGGAGGAGGAGGCAGTGGCAGTGATAGCTGGAGTGCTGAGAGATAAGTTTGGGCCTCAGATTGTGAGAGAGGAGGTAGAGGAGTGGGGGGGTGGGATAGGAAGCAGGGAGGACGAAGAGGAGGTGGAGATAGTGAAAGAGGAGGAGGCGGAAGAAGAGGAGGAGGAGAGGGTAGAAGGAGTTGGGAAGGAAGCGAAGCAGAATTGAGTGAGGAGGACACACCACCCTCGCATCTCCCGCCCACCACATCTCCTCCCACAACGCCTCCTCCACGCAAGAGCCGGCGGGTCGTATCTCCCTCCTCCCTCCTCTCCCTCTACCGCTTCTTCTCCTCCCACCTCGGCATCTCCTCCCCTTCCACTGTCGCTTCCCTCCTCTCTTCCCACCCTGCGCTCCTCCGCTCCAATCCCACCAATGACCTCCTGCCACGTGTCCGTCTGCTACAGGCATATGGAATATCTCGTGCCGACATTGCCTTCGTCACTGAAAAAGGGCCAGCCTGGCTCCGAATCCCCCTTCCACAACTTCAAAACACCCTTGAGTTTCTCTTGGCTCATGGCGTCCATCGCAGCAGATTGAGCTCGGTGCTCCGACGTGGACGCAATGTACTCTGCTCAGAGCCGCGTTCAACGATCCTGGGCATTCTGGTGGAGAGAGCAGGGGTTCCTGTGGACAAGCTGGGTTTGGTTATTGAGAGAAGTCCCGACATCTTGACTCGGACCAAAGAGGCGGTGAATAAGCAGCTTGAGACGATATCACTCTTTTTGAAAGCGAGATCTGGAGGGAAGGTAGAAACAGATAGCACCAGCACATCCCTCCTGAAGCAGCAAGTAGATGAGTCACGGTCCTGGACTTCCCCAAACACCCCCTCCATTGTGACGTCTGTGCTTTGGCGGGCCCCCACCATCTTCAATTTTACCACAGAAACTCTTTCAGCTAAGCTCCAGTTCTTTGTGGAGCTGGTGGGGGAGGAGGCAGCGGGAAGAGTGGCGAGGAGATACCTGGAAATTCTGCAACTATCGAAGGAGAACGTGCAAGGGAAGGTGACGGTATTGGGTGATTTGATTGGCCGTGAGAATGCTGCGCGGGTGGTGGCACAATATCCTTTGCTACTTACTTCTAGCGAAGGTAACATGAAGGAAAGTTTCAGAGGGCTTGTGCGAGAAGTGGAAGAGGCATTGGAGAGAAGTGGAAAAGAGGGAAGTGGAGCACAAAGCTCGGTGAAAGGTGATAGTGGTAGTTCCTTGGAAGGTGGGAATGAGTTTCGATTGTTTAACTCAGCCAAAGGTGACAAAAGGAGTAGGGCTCGTGAGCTGGTGGTGGATCTGGTGATGAAGTACCCGACTTGTATCCATTGTAGTTGGAAAGAGAACCTGAAGCCCAAGGTGGAGTACTTAAAACGGGACATGGGGCTCTCTATAATGGAGGTTCTTGCCTACCCTCCCTTTCTTGGGTTGAGTCTGGATCGGCGAATCAGAGCCCGGCATGTGGCACTGGTGCGAATGGGCTATGTAGTTGTGCCACACGAGTTGGTTTGTCGGACGAGTATTAGAGGCAGGAGGGAAGTTTCGATTGGAGCTGGGCAACGGAGGAACAAGCTGGGCTCTGTTTGCTCCTCACTTTCTGACGAAGTGAAGGGAGTGAAGGGGATTGAATGGGGAGCGGAAGAAAGAAAGAGCGTAAGAACGGGTGACAGGAAAGAGCAGCCGTGCGAATGGGAGGAGGATGGTGGTAGGGAACTGCCACTTGAGGAATTTCTCGGCGATCACGCACCAGAAGGGAGAGCTGCTACAGAGCAGCAGCTTGTGAACTTGGAGGGGACAAAGAGAGCCATGTGTTTGCGCCAATTTCTCCACTTTCCAGACAAGCAGTTTGAGGAGAAGTTTGGGGCCACACTGTAGGGCTGGTGCTGGTATATGCTCTTGTTCTGTGGCTTCCGATGAACGGTAAGATACAATCTTCTGGGGATGGGAAGAGGGGAGCGTTAATAGGGAGAAACAATTGCTGGTCGAAGGCAATTGTGGCAGGGGCAGTAGAGAAAGGGAAAGGGGTATTAGCAGAACTAGCAGCAGCAGCAGCAGGAGGAGGAGGCAGAGGGGATAGTGTGAGTGCTGCAGCCTCGCTGCTGGGTCCTTTGTTGCTGCCTGATGGGACCGGAGGGGGTGTGGCTGCTACATCTGCCTCTGCTACATCTGCCTCTGCTATAGCTGCCTCTGCTACAGCCGCTGCAGCCCCCCCCCTGCTGGGCCTGCTGCAGCTGTTTCTGTGGGTGGCGGTGCCCCCAGCTGTAGCAGAGGAGCTGCTGTTCAGACGGCCGCTGCTCACGGGCCTGCAATAGAGGCTCGGCAAGTGAGAGGCTTGGCAGGGGGTAGTTGTTCCTTGTCGTCGCCCTTCCAAAAATTTTAGGCGCCTCAAAAGTGGTTCTTTGTTGACGCCCTCCCAGATCCTTTTTCAAAAGAGTGAGCCTCCTGTTGTCGTGTCCCCTCCCCACTGCCACACCTTCTGCCTCATCTGGTCTCCAACTCCCCTACGACCACCCCTTCTCTCTACTGCCTCCTCGTTCTTCCCTGTGCTACCGCCCCCTCCCTCCCTCCCCTGCACCTGCCCCCTCGCCCTCCCATAGTGTATCCGCTGCTGCACCCCGACCTGTGCCTTCCAGTCCTCACTCCTATGAACACTCCTTGTCTCTCTGCCCTCCTCTGTCCTTGTCCCTTGCAGGTGGGTTGACTCCCCAACATGCCCCCGCTGCTGCAAGCCCGCTTGTGCCATCGAACTCTGAGGCGTACAGGGAGGGAGGAATGCGCTCGCCTGCAGGCAGCCTACCAGCCGGAACCGTGCAGGTTGAACCAGCTTAATAACACTCATTTTCATTTCCTCTGCAGCTTGTCCATCCTGGCCAAAGCTCGCTTGGAGAAGACTGCGACTGAAATTTAACAAAGTTAAATCTCCTATAATTGTATCACATGCCTCGATGGCGCAGTCGGTAGCGCGTAGGTCTCATAGCATTCCGACTCCCACTCTGCTGGGCGGAGCCATCCTAAGGTCGTGAGTTCGATCCTCACTCGGGGCATTTCTTTTGTCGGTGGTAGTTGCTACTGGCAGCTCTGAATTCAGAGGTGACAATAGCATCAGAGCCTTCTCTTTTGTTCAACGCCTTTTCCTGCCTTTCCGACCACGCAAAGCATTCCCCTTCTTAATCAGAGGCTGCTATAGCTGCGGCAGTGGCAGTGGTGATAGCAACGGCTCGACCTGGCTCTAGTGTGGCTGAGAGGAGGCTGTTGGAGGGGAGGGATGTGAGGGGGGGAGAGAAAGCGAGTGGAGGGATGGGAGGAGGGGAGAGAAAGTGAGTGGAGGGATGGGAGGAGGGGAGAGAAAGTGAGTGGAGGGATGGGAGGAGGGGAGAGAAAGTGAGTGGAGGGATGGGAGGAGGGGAGAAAAGAGAGGAGCGAGGGGAGGAGAAAAGAGGGGAGGAGAAAAGAGGGGAGGAGAAAAGAGGGGAGGAGAAAAGAGGGGAGGAGAAAAGAGGGGAGGAGAAAAGAGGGGAGGAGAAAGGAGGGGAGGAGAAAAGAGGGGAGGAGAAAAGAGGGGAGGAGAAAAGAGGGGTGGAGCAAAGAGGGGTGGAGCAAAGAGGGAGGGAGGGGAGGAGAAAAGAGGGGAAGGAGGGGAGGAGAAAAGAGGGCAGGGAGGGGAGGAGAAAAGAGGGCAGGGAGGGAGAGGGATGGTGTGGAGTTGGGGTGGAGGCAGACCGGTTCTATGGAGTGGAGAGGAGCTAGAGGGGAACTGGGGTCGTAGAGGGGTGTGAATGATGGGGGAAAAGAGGGGAAAGAGGGAGGGAAGCTGGGGGATGAAGGGGATAACGGCGGAGAGAAGGAGGGAAGGATGGAGAGGAGGTTGGAGGTTGGAGGTTAGGCACGTGGGTGGACTGCTGCTGTGTCCTGACGTTATTGACTCTCCAAGTTATAAACCTGCAGCAGCAGCAGCCGCCAAGCAGAAGTTGTTAGACGCATGTCTAGACGCTCTCCTCTCTCTGCTCTCTGTTCTATGTTCGCTCCCCTCAACAACAAACGCTGCGATCCCTTTTCGCGAGATGCTCTTGGATGCAGCACCTGTCAATAATGGACAGGTGGGCTGCGGAGGCCTTACCACTCTGTCGCAGCAGCAGTGTCTATTGCAGAAGGTGGGAATGGTGATGCTATCGCTGCGTCCGGTACAGTCGCTGCTGCTGCTGCTGCTGCTGCTGCTGCTGCTGCTGGTAGCTCTTCTGCTGCTGCTGGTAGCTCTTCTGCTGCTGCTGCTGCAGCGACAGATACTGCTAATGGCAGTGATGGGATCAGTACCCATAGCAGCAGCGAACAAGGGAGCAACAGCAGGAGCAGAAGCAGCACACATGCGAAGCCTCCCACTGCTACAGCACCCGTGCTATCCCTCCTCACTGCCATGGGGGTTCAGATCTGGAAGGAGGGAGAGGAGGGGAGTGACGGAACGGGGTGGACAGTCAGGGTGAAGGAGAGGGAAGCTGAAGGAGAAGAGGGGGGCATTGCACAAGAGAGGGAAGAAAAGGGGGAAGTAGCAGCAGGGGTGGGAGGTTGGAGGTATGGAAAAGGGGCTGTGCTGGCAGCTATGGCAATGCAGGCAGCACAGGAGGTGCTGCCACGTGTCAAGCAGGCATTGGAGCAGATGCGGGCGGGGAATGGTGGGGATGGAGATGCGGCGTGGCTGCAGGCATTGGTGCAGCAAGTGAGGGTGTGTGGCGGCTGGGTGTCTGCTGATGGGGAGAATGCACCCAAAGAGATGGTGAGATGGGATGGGACTGTGTGGTTCTGTTCTGGATGGCAGGATTTTCTCTCTTTCACTGAGTGTCAGCAGATGGGGAGAACGCACCCAGGGTGATTCTGGCTTTCAAAATGGAAGGGGTACATAACCTTTGAGTTGACTATTACATGTTCTGCATATTTTTATGGCAATCAATTCCTCTGACTATTCTCCCCACGCCCTTTAATTGGGCAATCATGTAACTGTCCGAGACCCGTCCTGCAGCTGCCTTCAGCTCTCCTGCTTTGACCTTTACGCTGCATGCCAGCAGCCTTTGCAGACACGCAATCAGAATACACCGACAAGCACAGGAACTGCAGACAGCAAAAGCCAAGCTGTCAATATTGAAGAAGTATCAATGTCTTGAGCAATGAGGCCACCATCACCAGTGGTTACTGCAGCCGACTTTTGAGGCGCCTTCTGAGGACTTTTGAAGCGAGACAGCAGAAGTCAAGCTGTCAGTAATAAAGAAGTACCGTACATCAAGGATTTCGCTACGCCGGCACTATGCCTTTCTAGCACACTGATCCTACAGGGTATAATAATAATTATAAAACTAGGAAAACCCCGATGGATCAGGGTTTGAACAAGGTGTCACACTGATAATCAGGTTTCTGAACTTGTGCAACACTGATCACAAGGGTTGCTGAATACAAAAAATTAGCCCTGCTCCTCGCGTCGCCTCCGGCTTTCCGATCGCCAAACATGCACCCAACCTCGGTTCCCTCCTAACTATGGTAGTCACTATATTAGCATGTACCTCCATTGTATTGTCAGTTCGACCAATCACATTCTCGATATTCGTTATTCTGCGCTCTCTCTTTTACAACTCGTAACAAAGCGCGTGAAAAATCAATGTAATGGTTACCGAACGCGTTATAGAGATTAATAAATGTTACGGTTTGCATATTTTTCCGCCAAATTACCGTACCTTGCAGCAAAACTCTTTCCTCGCTTGAAAACCGAGCCTACAGTAGACCGCATTCCGAGTAGGCTGGCTTTTTCAATCTCGCAGACGAGGAGTAGCCATGCCGGGCTTGCACGAAACGAATCTGTAGTGTTTTGCCAAGTTGCTGTGAAATGGCAATCCTGACTCCACAGGAAGACTGAATGCACATTCCGAATCCTTCCCGTAAAACACCCGAGACAATAAGTCAACCAACATTTCCACATAATGAAATCCTGTGTGAAAAATACTGGTCGCTGACTCGATGAACTGGCTTAGTGGCTAGCGAAGTAGATATTGAATGGCAAGATTTCCGGTTCGAATCCCTCTACCGCCATGTTCGTGAAGGCTACTCTCTTGCACAATTGCATGATGTGATTGAAAATTCTGGCTTTTGTTTTCCGGAACCCTGAAAATTCAGGCTTTTTTTCTTAGGAACCCTGAAAATTCAGGCTTTTTTTCACAGGGACCCTGATGCATCAACGTCCCTAAAAGTGAATCTGAGGGCCTGCCCCCACCCTGTAACCCGGGATTCTTGATTGCCAACTGTCGAGAACATTGTACACTGATGCCTCAGGGTTGAATATTCAAACTAAGTAGAAACCCTGATAAATCAGTTTTCCCACAAGGGGTCACACTGATAATCAGGGTTTTGAAGATCTCTAAGGCGTCGGGGGGGGGGGGTGGTGACAATGGAGGATAGTGTGGTGCTGCATGGGAAGCGGGTTGATATGGCGGTGCGACGTCCAACGGCTGGAGAGGCTCACGCCCTAGAGATCAGCGTCGCGGACCCGCTATCGCAGTCTCCATCACTGCTGGGACAGTGCGGGCGTCAAATAGGTGTGGCGGCAAGGGAGTGGGAGCGCCGCAAAACGAGTGACTACGCGCCTCTGCTTGCACGCAACCGGGGCGTGCAGTTCATCCCTTTGATAGTTGAGACGTGGGGGTGTCTCGGCGGTCGTTTTCAGCGGTGGCTTCGTCAGCAGGGGGATGCGCACGTGCGACTAGCTGTGTCGCGGGGGGCTTGTCGAGAAGACGACTTTGTGTTTTCGGCTTATCTTTTAGGGTCACTGAAGGCGCTCATGTTGAAATGAACGAACAGGAATGATTGAACTAACAGTGAAATCAGTACAAGTACCTAACCCTAGAATTGTGTACCCCCTATAGGCTAACCCACTATAGCCTAAACAAGCACAACATATATAATGTTTGACACACCCCCATAGGCGAAATGGGGGAGAACTAGGGGTCACAAGACCAGTCAAGGAAAAGCAAGGCAAAACAAGCTCAGGGTGGATCTAAAGGATACCACACAAATTCCGAGCACAAGCAAGTGGTCACAAGACCAGTTCACATGCAGGTTTATAATAGAACAAGAGGTACAAAGATCACAACCTAGCAAGAGTAAACATGCAGGTATATATATAGAGAGATCACAGTACAAACAGACTCAAGAAGTAAGCAAGTGAGGTCCAGTAGGCACAAGGCCTAGAAGAGTGCAAAAGCGCTGATGGTCACAAGGCTTAAGCGCCTTGGTGAACACATCAGCAGTGTTGCCCTCAGAGGCCACGTAAAGCAGACGAAGCTGACCACGCTGCTGCAGCTCTCGAGCAAGGAAGTAGCGCAGAGCAATGTGCTTCGTTGTGTGCTCTAGTCTGTGCTCCTGACACAAGGCAATGGCTGCCTTGTTGTCGACGTATAGCACTGGAGGAGAACGAGGCCGCTCTCCAAGGTCGGTCAGCAAGTAGGTGAGCCAGCGTAGCTCCTGGGCCGCCATGGCTGTGGCGTAGATCTCAGCCTCACAGCTGGAGCTGAGAACAGAAGAAGAGCGAGTAGAACGCCAAGAAACTGAACCAGAGCCAAGACTGAAGGTGTAACCCTAAGACGACCGCTGAGTAGCCTGGTCGTCTGCCCAAGAAGCGTCTGAGTGCCCAGTAAGAACAACTGGGTCTCGCCCTCCAAGCACTAGCCCCATGCCCGACGTACTGCACAAGTAGCGCAACACCCTCTTAGCTGCATCCATGTGCTCCTTCCAGTGACGGCCGGGAGCGACATAGCGTGCAAGAATGCTAAGAGGGTATGCAAGGTCAGGTCGAGTGTAGGTCATCAGGTACATGAGGCAACCCACAAGCTCTGGATACAGGCCACTCGGCTCTACGGACTCATCCGAAGGCAGAGCTGAGAGCGAGTGACTGGTAGGCAGAGGAGTGGGCTCAGGCGAGGAGTACGTGAAGCGGAAGCGCTGAAGAACCTGCTGCACCATGTGTGACTGAGTGAAGGTGATGGTGCGGCGTGCTCTGTCCCGGGTGATCCGCAAGCCAAGATAGCTTGTCACTTCACCCAGGTCTGTGCACGTGTGTCTCTTCTGCAGCTCCGACTTCACGTGGGCGAGTGCCGCAGTGTCAGCAGTGGCAAAGACCAAGTCGTCGACGTACACGAGGATGTAGAACGGCGGCAGTGAGGTGTCGGTGCGTAGAAACAGCGACGGGTCATCAGTAGAAGGCGCGAACCCAAGAGCCGCAAGTGTAGTCCTCAGTGTGTCGTGCCACTCACGTGGCGCCTGACGGAGACCGTAGACTGGCCGTCGGAGGCTCCACTGGGTACCAGGAGGGAACGACTCAGTGAAGCCAAGTGGGCGGCGCAGCCAGATCTCCTCGTGCAGGCTGCCCTGTAGAAAAGCAGTGCTAAAGTCAAGAGAGTGGAGCTCGTAGTCACGCTGAGCGGCGATGTGCAGCAGAACCCGAAGAGTGGTTGAGCGGTCGATTCCTGCCGATTCCTTTTGTATCAAATTGAGTGGTAGATATGTCTCAATTAATATGTAATAGAACAAAAGTTTTGAACATATGCAGCACTGATCGTAAGGGTTGACAAAAAAAAACAAGAGGCGACGAAATCGTCTTAGGGTTGCGGAGCGTTTTGCATAAACAACATATTTTATACAAATGTAATACTAAGCATGTAACTCGTTTTTTCATTATTACCTTATTATGCATCACCTCTAGTACCGAATATGAAACTCACATGCAAAAGGGGAACGCAAGGATTGAAGCTATCGACCTTTCGTTTCCACACCAAATCTCTCACCACTACGTCACAACAGCTGTTTGTTGGAACAGGTTCGTGTAAAACAACATTTTCTTTTTGCGACGAATGTCCATTGCTAGGGTTTCCTTTTTCTCCTTTTCCTTCCTCTCGCCACTCGAGTCTCGTTCCTTCGTGGCTCTTCTCTCGTGCAAGCTGGTACACCGTTTTTCATAGGTATAAATGGATATTAGCCACTTGAACTTCATTTTAGGAGTATGTTAGTCTTCTCCGTGTACTCTTGCTCCCCTAGATCTCTCTCGTTCTGCCGCTTACTTATCATTCTTGCTAGATCTTCAATCTTGCCCATGTTTTACCGAATCTTATTTCCAGACTCCTTACTCAGTAGTCTGTTCTCTTTCTTCCTTTGTCATCCGTTCCTACTTCTCGTATGATTCGCAAGTCCTTCATTTTTGCTATCTCTTTTTCACACCTTCACGTCCGTTCCTTCATGCTCTGTTTTTTGCCTTTGTGTCATTTGATGCTTTATTTGGAACAGGTAGGGAAGAGAGAGACGGCCTAGTGCGGCAGAGGCTGGTGAGGAGTAGCGGGCAACGACACCAGTGTACAGCGCCTGTGCAGTCTTGTGCTGCCCAAAGT